TTTTCTTTTTGCTTATGTGGTGCTGAGGAATCGAACCCAGGGCCTCAGGCATGCAAGGCAAGCGCTCTACCACTGAGCCAACTTCCCAGCCCCTGCTTTTCTTTTTTTATGTTTATAGTTTTAGATGTTATTTTTTCCGTTTAGCATTTCTTTGCTTCATCCTGTTTGATTTAATCTTTTATTTCTATCAAACTAATATAGTACTTTGTATTTACATGTCCTGTGTCAAGTGTCCTGTGCCTTTTTTTTTTTTTTTTCTTTTTTGGCAACAAGGTCTCACTAGGTTACTTAGTGTAGCCTCAAATTCTCTGTTCTCCTGCCCCAGTCTCCTGAGTTCTGGGATTATAGGTAGTACTCAGGAGACACCTTGAGTATCCTGGCTCAAGTGTCCTATTTATTCTTTATTGTAAGCATCCATATTTGTTGTAACTACAATAGTTTTTCCTTAAGTAATTTCATCTAGTAATGCTTTGTACATTAGAAGTGTATAACATTTGAACATGGCATGGCATTCATTGAAATTGCACTCTAGTCTTTGGCAGTAAGTTTTTCAAAAGTCTGTAATCATTTATTACCAACTCATTTTATACTATATTTTTTGTACTCTGTCTTTAATGTTGATAGCTTATTAAGTGAGCTCTTATTTCTTATACTTAAGTATGTTGTGTAGACAACATAAATTTGGTTTTACATTGTTAAGAGTGAAATGAATTGTTTAAAATTGGAATTTATGTACCATTCTTTTGTTTGTTCAGAATTATGTGATTGTATGCTCGCAAAGATTTATCTTCTTTGATAGTGCTGTAGTACATTTAAACTGCTTATGTGATATATTCATTAGCCAGTTAAATGCATAGTTTACAGTTTTAAGTGAAGCAAATTTGGTGATAGAGCTCTTTTTATTTGTGAAGAGATGTGATTAGATCAAGTTAAGCTTTGTCTGATAAGACTAGTGGTCTAATGTTTCATATGCTACTGCATCTGATCTGCAGAGCCCCCAGAACAACTGGGAATCGTGCAGTGCACTCTGTACTTTTATCCCTTGTTAACAACTATTGGGCAATGTTGTATGTTCTTGGTATTTATTATAAATGTAAGCCAGGCATGGCAGTACACACTTGTCATCCCAGCACTCTGGTGACTAAGGCAAGAGGATCATGAGTTCAAGGCCAGCCTGGGCTACATGGCAAGACTTCTCAAAAACAAAGAAACTCCAAACAATAAATAACATGAAATTCAGGCTGGGAAAGTGGCTCAGTGGTAGAGTACTTGCCTTGCATGCATGAGGCCCTGGGTTCGATT